CTCTCTCTCTCTCTCTCTCTCTCTCTCTCTCTCTCTCTCTCTATCGCTGACACAGAAAGTGTTTGAAACGAATACAGAATATTATCGCCAAAGCTATCGAAATCAAGTCAAGCCATGTCTTTGATGAATGTGTTGTGAATTTATTAATGAATTGTCAGCTCTTTTACGTGATATCTATTGCATTGTTATTAAAATAATTGGATATATTTAAACATATTCTTATACTTCACTAAAAACTGCTGTCAAATATTAAATGTATAAAAAAATTTGTTTAAATAAAAGTTGTTTTGTTAAAAAAATATATAACTTATATAAAAGAAAAATCACATCGATTTCTATCTTTATGGTTGAATGCTTTGTTCAAATCCTTTACGTTTGATTTGATTTAAAGTGAATTTTCATATAATAATCATATTTTAATACAATAAGTGAGACACAGATTTATAAATCAAGTTATATTCTGCTCGACATGTGATTCCCAGCAATTGAACGAAAATAACTTTTGCGTAAAATTTCATATTTCAAAAAACAATATCTTATATGTCTTACAAAATAAATCCACGATTTGTGCGTTCAATGAATAAAATATGATTCCTTTCTCTGCCATTGGTTTCAATGATTTAAATCTGCATTCGTTTAAATAGATTGTGAATATATTGTCTAATAGTCAGTGTATTTCATAAAAGATGTCAATTCAGATATGATTGTATATTCATATACTTTATAGATTTTCATTATATATTATGGCATTATTTTTTATTGTGTGATATATCCTAATATATTAAGTATTTTATGATCTAACTTTTGGTTAAATATCTGAACATAAAATGTGCGAATAAATAGCATTTATAAATTCACGAAAATAATAAAATTATATTTGTTTATTACAAACAATAAATTACCATTAGTTTAATGTCTACACTTGTTTAGTTAGAAAATAGTGTAGAAATAGTTATAATCATTTCAAAAGCAATGTTTAATTCACTATTTTTGCAGTACTTTTTCAAATTTTGCAAACAAAATAATAAATCCTTTGCAGAAATAAAAAGTCTTAAATAGAAATTTGTTTAAAATTTAATGCTTTAATAAATTTTATATTTTGAAGAATCGAGTCTTAAATGTATGAATAGTAACACAAAAAGAAATGTTCATAAACTGAGGTCTATTTCACATAAAATAAACATGAATTTCATTTTAAAAGATTAAATTACTCGAGAGTTTATATGATTTGCACACAGAAAATGGTTTCAATGAATGTGTTGTGTTTTTATGTATTTTATTCATAGGGATATGGCATTGAAATATTCACACATTTTACACAATTTAAATAAATAAATATATTCTCAACATTCAAAGCATTCAATGCATGCGATCGCCAGAAATATACCTAATTTATAGGTCATATGAAAGGCACAGAAAATCCTTTTTATTGATTTCTTCAACAACTCATTTAAGTTAAACATTAAGAAAACTCAACATTTTTTATTTGGTTTTTCAAAAACAAGATTAATTTTTAATATAAATTCGTCTCCAAAATAAGTTTTAAGAATTTTTGATATTTATTTTAAAATAAATGATTCGCAGAGAAGAAAATTGATATGAAATCAAATGTTGTAAACAATTAACGCTAATATTTATCCCATTTAACGCATTTGGTCCACAATTTTTCCAATAATATGATTGGAAAATTTCAAGTGTTTTTGACATTATATGGTATATTCACACATAAAAAGGCATCTTATTTAACATTCAGGCAAACATTTCCTATGAAAAAGCCATTCAAACGACTATAACTTATGGTAAAAACACACATTAAATTACAATATTAGAAGAGAAATGCATTTCTTTGCATCAAATTTATATTTCATATGTTTGCTTATGAATTGCCTTCAAGTCATATATAATATAATGCATTCAGTATTTCAATTGTAATCTAGTATTTCAAACACGATTTTATTGACAAGAAATAAATTTCAAGTGACAAGAATTGGATGAATGAAAAGCAATACTTTTAAACATCGCTTTTCGGTAATACATGTGTGAAGAGTAAAGCCATCGATGCTTTATATTTGATGGCATTATATACATGTGATGTCTCGCAAAAGACTTAACCCATAAATACAAGTTTAAACCATATTTGGTATTTAATCCCGAAATGCGATTATAAGTCAATTCATAAAAATAAAACTCAAAAACAAACGTTTTTTAGTAAGTTTTTCAAACCAATGGTTATTATTTTGATACAAGATTTATAATTATTATTTGATTTATGGTTGAATATAAAAGTGCAATAAATAAAATATAATATTATTACAAATACAATTTCGGTTATATCAATATTAATATAATATACAGTACTATCTATTATGACATTCAAGCCATTAAAATAAGTCTTAATTAAGTTTATTCTCTCTCTCTCTCTCTCTCTCTCTCTCTCTCTCATCACATCTCTGAGGAATTTAATTAATACTTTTTGCCTGAACTTTGCATTTCATATAT